TTACATCTTCCCTGTTAAAAGGTTCATCACAGAGCTCACAGGCTGTTTTTGTCTCAAATAAAGCTTGTAGTTGTTGGGACATATGAAGTGCATTAGATACTAGCCCCTCTCTTGATTCCAGCCCATGACACTTCTAATGTGGTTACAAAATGATTGATGGCCTCGTTACCTAAATAGGTATCATTCTACGCAATGTTCATCTGTCTGTCAATGTTGATGTAAGCATATACTATCGCATTGTGACATGATTTTATCATCCCTTTAGGTTAGAGCAATCTAGCAGACACTCAAAATCATAAAAACACCAGTGACTAGGACCATATCCTCGTCCATAGTTACGGAATGTGATCTTTCGCAATATCAAACAACAATGACAAATGGTATAATGAGATGGGAACTTTTCGAGGTGAGAATCAATATTGCATATTACTGGTTATATTCTTTAATTAGTACCAAATGCTGAGCTTCCAACATCAGCAATGGTATGACATCCATATGCTCACCTCTTCCTTTCCTAGCTTGTGTGATATATAGTGTCGTCTTGTATTTTCACTTCTTTCCAGTGAATGAACAAAGATTCTAACTTTATTTATTTTTTCTACTTTAGTGATATCCTCAAATGTTACTGCAGAATTAACATCTGCAGGCCAATTAATGTGCCTGAGACACCAACTTGTTTCTCCACATCGTTTACGAATATTATCTAGATGCCATACCCTCAGTTAGGCATTTATACACAACAACACATTGCCTAAGGCAGATATCAGCTGCACCGTTTCAATTGAAAATAAGCTGCTTTCCATGCAAACCTTCAGGATACTCAACATGAGAACCTATCCATGCAGGGTGTTCAATTTGTGCACAGTTGATGTAAAAACCTGTGAGACGCTCAAACAAGATATTCTGTTCCAGGAACAACCCTATTTTCTCATGTAATAATTCATTTGCCCAGAAATCTATAAGTGTGTCTACCTCCTCTTGAGTAACTGTTCGTGCCTTCCCCCCATACATGAAATCCATCAATATTGATGGGGTCTAGCAAATCTTCCTCGTCTTCACATATAATTAAATTGTGCAGAGTGTGATATCAGGGTAAATTAGTAGGGAGGGATGGTGAGGAGAGAAGTGGGTGCAAATCTCATCAATGAAACATTGTCTGTATGTTCTTAAATACACACCTGGGGAAGTATTAACGTGTGTTGGTAAAGAGAAAAAAAAATGAACATAGCCTCCGTCATAATTATCAATTCTGTTTATAACTTGAGGTTGTATAACTCGTGGGAGAGGAAGAGGGGGGCCTGGGGGTGTGATGGGGTGGGGGTGATGGTGACGGTCTACCTCCTCGAACAGGAGAGAGTGCTCCATCAGTTTCATCTTCAGTTTACTCAAGGTTTGGAGGGAACTTCAGGAGTTCAGGATGAGCATGGACTCTCTCAAGAGTAATTTATCCTGTGAAGTGAACCGGTTGAGGAGCTCGAGGGACACGGGGAGGAAGCCCTAAACTGTGAGCAGTGGACCTTGCTCGGGAGAAGGAGGTGCTGCATGGGAACCGACGACGGGGAAGTCCAAGAAGGACACAGGGAACGTCTGCCGCTGGTGCTGCCACGGGTGACTGATACAGGGTTGTCTGGAAGAGGTAGCCGATGATTTGTGAGCGGATCCGGTCAAGCCGAGGAGGACATGCCGGATATCCTGGGGCTCGATCATCTGTTCAGAGAGGAGGCTGGAGGACGAGTGCCAGGTGAGGAAGAGTAGGAGTGGAGTATCCAAGTTACTCTCTCCAGTCCTCTAAGTATTGACAGCGCCTCTCTAGGTGAGCTACAAATGGAAGTTTCCAGAGTTGGTGTGGGACACAGAAGGAGGTCTCGCTGGACCCGAGTCACCAACTTACTTCTTCATGGAGATGGGAGTACTCACCTAATTGTGTTTGCGGGGGTTGAGCTTTGTCTCTTTGGTCCCGCCTCTCAACTGTCAATCAACTGGTGTACATTTTCCTGAGCCTACTGGGCTCTAAACTATGTATGGAGTCAGCCTCCACCACATCACTTCCTAGTGCATTCCATTCATTAACTACTCTGACATTGAAAAAATTCTTTCTAACGTCTCTGTGGCTCATCTGGGTACTAAGTTTCCACCTGTGTCCCCTTGTTCGTGTCCACCCGTGCTGAAGAGTTTGTCTTTGTCCACCCTGTCAATTCCCCTGAGAATTTTGTAGGTGGTTATCATGTCTCTCTTTACTCTTCTGTTTTCCAGGGACGTGAGGTTCAGCTCCTTTAGCCTTTCCTCGTAGCTCATTCCTCTCAGTTCCGGGACGAGCCTGGTGGCATACAGCTGAATTTTCTCTAACTTGGTCTTGTGTTTAACTAGGTATGGACTCCAGGCTGGAGCTGCATATTCCAGGATTGGTCTGACATAAGTGGTATACAGGGTCCTGAATGATTCCTTACACAAGTTTCTAAAGGTAGTTCTTATGTTGGCCAGTCTAGCATATGCCGGTGATGATATTCTTTTGATGTGGGCCTCTGGGGACAGGTTTGTTGTGATATCAACCTCCAGATCCTTCTCCCTATATGACCCTTGCAGGATATCACCTCCCAGATGGTACATTGTATTCAGCCTTCTGTTACCTTCGCTTAACTTAATTACACTTTCCTAAATTGAATTAACAAATCCACAAGGGCCGTGACGAGAATTCCAACCTGTGTCCAAGAGCATCCCACATGCTGCCTTAATCGACTGAGCTACGACATGGTAAACGAGTTGAAACTGAAGCTCTACTGAATTTACTGGATCCTGCAGTCTCTCCGAGACTCAAACGAGGATTTTACACAACTCCCCCATGCACTCGAGCTATGTCAATAGGCCGTTCTCCCTCTTGGACGCAGGTTCGAATCCTCCTCAGGTCAGGGCGACACTTAAACACTTGTATAATTTTCTTGTATATCACTGCACAATGGTGAATGAATTATACACAAGTAGTCTGACACACTGTAAGCTCAATTAGCTCTAAACATGATTTTCAATTATCTTCTAAACATGATAAACTGATTTTTGCTTTTTTTTCCCAAATATATTTCTATAAACACTGGGTGGCACATGGCTGACCCCGCCCCCCCCCCCCTTCTGGGAAGGGGTGTTCTGTTTGGCATCAGGAATACGTGCAGAAGTTTCGGGAACGGTTGAAAAAGGCGAACAAGGTGGCTGCTGAACACCTGAAGACAGTTCAGGAGAAGATGTCGATTTGGTATAACAAGAATGCTGTACCAAGGGAGTTTAAGATTGGAGCTTGAGTGATGATGTTGCTACCTGCGAGACGTAGAGTGACGGAATCACGCTTCCGTCTATCGACATTTTCTCCTGAGTTGCCTTCAGGTGCTCAGCAGCAAGCTTCTTCGCCATTTTCAACAGTTCTCATAATTTCTGCACATACTCTTCCACTGTCACTAACGTCATCTTCGCCAGCAACTGCTCCTTCAACATGAACAACGGGCTTCTTGCTTCGTGTCCGAACACTAGTTGGAAAGGCGAGAATCCCAGGGACTCACCCACAGCTTCTCCGATCACAAACAGGGCTGGATAGATAGCTTCATCCCACTCCGCCCCCTGTTCCGCACAATAAACTCGCAAAATGGTGTTCAGGGTGGAGTGGAACCTCTCAATCACTCCTTGCGACTGAGGTCTGTAAGGTGATGATCGAAGTTGAGCTATTCCACAGCCTGCAGTAGCCTACCTGAACCACATCGATTGTAGAATACTTCCGCAATTGGACTGAGTCTCCTTGGGCACTCTTACCCAAGGGAAGAATCGCTGAAGGTGTCCCATGACAAATCTTGATGTCACCTCCGGAAATCTCGTCGAAGCACACATGATGGTCAACAAGTAACTATTTTCCCTTCTTGTTCTAGGTAAGGGTCCCACAACGTCGATTATCAGGCGTTCAAACCCCTGGCCAAATGCAGGAACTGGTACTAAAGATGCCTTCGGGATCGCAGAGACATTAATCCCCGCCCTTTGACAGGGGAAACATGTCTTGTAGACTCTCCTTACATCCGCGTCCATGCTAGGCCTATAAAAATGCTCCCGAATCCAGTTTAAGGTTTTGGTCACTCCCAAGTGACTTGTGGGATCCACTGAGTGTGCAAGCTCAAGTACTGAGCTTCTATACAGGATCGGCACCACCACCTGCCGCCTCACTCTCAGCATACCATCACCGCTTCTTCTCTTACCGGTCTCCACCGCCTCATTAACACTCCCTTCTCCATGAAGAAGTAAGTTGGTGACTTGGGTCCTGTGAGACCTCCTTCCGCCTCCCACACCAACTCTGGAAACTCTTCCATTTGTAGCTCACCTAGAGAGGCGCTGTCAATACTTAGAGGACTGGAGAGAGTAACTTGGATACTCCAATCCTACTCTTCCTCACCTGGCACTCGTCCTCCGGCCTCCTCTCTGAACAGATGATCGAGCCCCAGGTCATCCTGCATGTCCTCCTCGGCTTGACCGGACCGGATCTCTTCCAGGCAACCCTGTATCAGTCACCCCTGGCAGCACCAGCGGCAGACGTTCCCTGTGTTCTTGGACTCCCCCGTCGTCGGGTCCCAAGCAGCACCAAGCACCGTTATTTAGGTAACGAGGCCATCAATCATTTTGTAACCACATTAGAAGTGTCATGGGCTGGAATCAAGAGAGGGGCTAGTATCTAATGCACTTCCTATGTCCCAACAACTACAAGCTTTATTTGAGACAAAAACAGCCTGTGAGCTCTGTGATGAACCTTTTAACAGGGAAGATGTAATCAGAGTCTGACATCCAAAACGAGATGAAAGACAGATCTGGGATGGAAATAAGTATATACTAGCTAGGGATGGATTTAAGTTTATGAAAGTCGACGTGAATCGAACAAGTTACGTTTTTTGGACAGTTTAGCCGTTGTCAATGGATCACTAGGAAGAATAGCTGAAGATCATTTTGATAGTAGGAAACCTACCACATTCACATTGGCTATGTTAAAGACTGTAAATAAAGATGCCATCCCTAAATTGTTAAAGGGTAAACAAGCCTTCTGCTATGATTACTTATCATCAATGAGTGTACTGGACGAACCGCATCTTCCTTCATGTGACAAGTTTTACAACACACTGAAAGATGATGAGTTATCAGTAAAAGATTATAAGCAGACATTAGATTTTTTTTATCTTGCCCAATGTTGTAACATCGGAGATTATCTCGTCCTATACCTTAAAGTAGATACTATGTTGTTGGCTGATGTATTCACACTCTGGCGAGATACCATGCTTACTGTCTACAAATTGTACATTTCTCTCTACATTTCTGTACATTCATTCACTCGGGATACATTCTTGCTTAAATCTAACGTTGAACTAGATGTAGTGTCAGACCGCTTGTTATATGACTTACTTTGCCGGAATCTCCTAGGAGGGTTCACAAGCTTGACTAGACAGTACACTAATGTGGAGAACCAGCCGACAGGTTTAGATCTAGGGGGATGATAGTAGCTACATTATCTATTTGGACTGTAACAGTCTATACGGTGTGTGTATGGTTGAACCCACCCACCCTGTGGTGGGATCTGGAAGCTGTCACACAATGAACATGACGCACTGTTAGAGCAGGGCTTGGAGAATATCACATGTGATGGACCAAAAGGTTACTGCGTGTTGTGTGATACAATGCATGTTAGTCCAGAGGTGGCAAGGTATATGGATGAACTGCCCCTAGTTCTTTCTCATGCCTGCATTACAGAGGATCACATTTCACCCTACAGGAGCAAGTGGCTGAGCAGACAGAACACTGGACGCGTGGTCCCACGTTCGATCCCGGGTGCCGGCGAGAAACAATGGGCAGAGTTTCTTTCACTCTGATGCCCCTGTTACCTAGCAGTAAATAGGTACCTGGGAGTTAGTCAGTTGACACGGGCTGCTTTCTGGGGGTGAAAGCCTGGTCGAGGACCGGGCTGTGGGGACACTAAGCCCCAAAATCCTCTCAAGGTAACATCAAGAAGATACAGTAAGAATATTCTTACAGAAGAAAGACGTGGGTTGCCTAAAAAAAAACTAAATCAATTGCATCACACATTCCTTAGAAAAATTACCTGGTTAATTTCGCATGTTACAGTTGCGCATGCATATTGGATTAGAAGTAGCTAATGTTCACGCCATCTATGAGTTTAAGTATGAGACTTACCTTAAAGATTTCATTGAAACCAATGTTCGTGAACGAGCCAGTACCAAATGTGTGATAAAAAAAGCTATACAAATATATGGAAAGAGCCTCACAGATGTTTCAAAATATGTAAACAAGCACTGTTTGGCCACAAATCGTAGAGCATTCCTAAAACACGCTCACAACCCCTTCTTCAAGTGTAGTCTGTTGTTAAGTAAAGACTGTGTGATATGCACTATCAAGCAGAAGTCTCTCCTAGTCAATACTCCTACATACCTTGGCTTTCCCATACTAAAAATTGCTAAGAGACGTGTCTACGAGTTCTGGTATGATGTGGTAAAACCAGCATATGGGGATAAAACGAGTCTATTATATACTGACACAGACTCTTTCATCATTAAACTCAACTGTCAAGATGTGTTTGAGGAGCTGAATAAGTCTCCATTCTTTGACTGTATGGATTTTAGCAACTTTCTTGACACACACACCTTTCCTACTCGAAAGGTAAACTAGGTTTGCTCAAGTCTGAAATCGAGTCTAAAATTATTAACCAATTAATTGCTCATTGACCTCAACATACTCTTTCATCACACAGGATGGAGAACAAACCTGTAAGTGCAAGGGAGTACCATACCACCTCCAAAAGAAACTCTAACATGAGACATTTCAACACACGCTAGAAACAAACACTTCAATCAGGTTTGTGTTGTGATCAATACATAATGTGCAAGGAAAGATTTGTACATGCAATAGTACATGTAGAAGTTTTGTCAGCATTTGATGATAAATGCTACATTCTAAGCCCTGTACAATCCCTAGCATATGGACACCCAGATATCCCAACTAATGTTGATGCTAAGATGGATGTAGTAGTGGTTGAGGGGATAGAAGAAATATCTAAGGAGGAGGAGGATGACGAAGTGATAGAAGTGGTACAACAGGCAGAGGCTCCGTGGAGTAAGCGATATGCTTCAGCTCATAAGCGATTCACCCCTCACAAGATATACGTTGTACAATTTAGTTAAGTTAGTATTATGATGGATAACATATTGGTAAAACTATTTACTATAGGGGCATAGGATGAGGTATACAATTGATATTAATGTTTATTATTATTGTTTGTGAGAGATGTTAACCGTAAGAACTATGATTAGTTTTTGTAAATGATGCTGTGAATATGTATTTTTATTTATGTGAATAAAAGCATTTAAATGACTAGTGTTTGTTTGTATAAATACCATCACCATTTCTTTAGTTTTAGCAGTCTTAATTAAAATGATACCAAAATGAAAGACTTAGGACGAGAATTGAGATATCCAAAGTGTAGAGAGTGTACACATTTTATTGCTCCTGCGTGCTCCCCTGTAGCACGCTCTTATTTTCTCACTTTCTTGCCAGGCTTTTGGGCTTTATATGCATTTAGTCCAGTAGATAATGTCATTGCGAATACATTGATACCAAATTGAAAGACCTAGGACCAGAATTGAGGTAACAATGTTGAAAAAAGTATACACTTTTCAGAATTTACCGCGCTCTCCCTCGCGTTCCCTTGAAACACCCAAGCCCACCTGGGGTAGTGGAGCAACCAGTTCTCGCACTTTCGTATAGTCAATATTGACTTATTAAATACGTGCATATGTGACATACTAATTTATTGTGAATATTTTAGTTTACCTTGAAAAGCTTCATAGAAAACACCGACCTTACCTAACCTTCTTATTATGTTAGGATAAGCATCTTATTGCTTCTTAATTACAATTATTACTTAACCTATTATAGGTATAGGTTAAGTAATAATTGTAATTACGAAGCAATAAGATGCTTATCTTAACATACTAAGAAGGTTAGGTAAGGTCGGTGCTTTCTATGAAGTTTTTCAAGGTAAACTAAAATATTCACAATAAATTAGTATGTCACATATGCACTTATTTAATAAGTCAATATTGACTGAAAGAAAGTGCGAGAACGGGTTGAGTGGGGAGGTCGCGCGCCTGGTGAGCGAAAGTGTTAAGGAAGCATTAATCGTGGACAGTTTCTATGATATAATCCATGAGGAACAACTAGATATATTTCGAGAATCATCTCAGATTATTATAGTGGGTTATTCTAACAGTGAAAAGTCCTTCTTTTGCAGTAATTTTTTAAGGACGTACCATCACAAATTTTTCTTGATATTTGTATGTGGTGGGGGTTACTCCCAATTACTCTCGGACCCACAAATTAAAAGGAAACTAATCGAGCATTCAACCATTATTGGTCTTGTGGAAGAG